CACAGTTCATCCACAGCAAAGCCTGATAGCCTGACTAGCAGCTGTCACTTCAGACTCCAAGACATCACACATTGATGGGAAGTATACTCCTCTTCAGGCTCTTGGCCTTGGAATAAAACTCTGAATCTGCTTCTCTACTGCATTTGGAGCCTCCTACACTTTACCTGCAAGACAATATTGACATTTTCATGTGTATTGTTATGGTCTGGCTATGGTCTGCCCCAAAGGGTTCATGTGCTGGAAGCCTGGTCCCCAATGTAATGGTATTGAGACTTGGTAGGAACCTGGTGGGACCCTTATGAGTGGGGCCTAGTGGAAGATGATTAAGTCCTTGGAGCACTGCCCTCTGAAGGCATTAATGCTCATCTCATGGAGGTAGATTAGTTGTAGTGGAACTGAATTAGTTATTGTGACAGCAAGGTCAGCTTGCTTCGTCCACTTACTTTCTCCTGTGACATTATCTGCTGTGTTATGAAATAGCCTGAGGCACTTGTCAGATACAGCTGCCTGATCATCAACTTCCCTGCCTCCAGAACTCTTCTCTTTGGAACTTACCTAGCCTCGGGTACTTTGTTAGAGCACTAGAAAATAGACTTAGACACATACCTTTTCTCTGTGAATTTGTCCATGCTATTTAGCTTACATGTCATGGCCTTCACCATCTAGAAAATTCTTAATCATCCTTTAAAACTCTGCTCTAGTTCCAGCTTCTCGGTATAGATTGTTTTGTTTTCTATGTCTCTTCTCAGCAGAGATAAATGAATCTACAGTATTCTTTGGACCCTTCTATTACGGTGCAAAGCAGATTTAGTCTTTTCCTATATCTGCATAACTTCCTTCACTGGGCTATGGGTTCCTCAAAGGCTCATAGATAGGGACTATATCTTAAATATCTTGGTATTGTCAAGGCCAAAGGTAATGCTCAAATGCCAAATCTAATTGCCTTGATATTGAGATATTTATAAATCTAGACAATGATATATTGATATATATGTCTGTGTATTATATATATATGCACACACACACACATATATGCACACACACACATATTTTTTGCTCAAGAACACACACACATATTTTTTGATCAGAAAGACTAAATCATACAAATGTTAATTTTCTGAAAAGGTGAAGCTATACTTGGCAGCAACTCATTATGAAAGTTCTACCTGTGAGTTTCACAATCCTAATGAAATAATCTTAATGATTATTAGAGACATTATGGCATACTACAATAAGAAGGCAAGAGGCACACAAGAGATGTTCTTGGCCAACAATAGACCTAATTATCAGTGTGGGAAATATATTTTGAATGTTGGCTCTCAAGGTTCACAGTGCCCACAAGAAAGATATCTCCTGGTATGTTGGAAAATAACATAATCAAAGAGAAGTTTTATGAGGGACAGGAGAACAGGCCCTAATTCTGACTTTTATGCCCAGCTATTTCTCCATCTTAAAAAGGCAAAAGGTTTTTCTTCTTTCCTAATTTGCAGAGGTGTGAGAAGCAAATGAGTACTGCTATGAGATAAATAGTAAAGAAATTAAAAATAGCATACCATCTTCTCTAAAACCAAAGTTATTTCAAACATAATTTTCCTAAGAAATGTTGTGGCGGGTTTTTGGAAATGAAAGTGGTCTATCAAAAGGAACCTTGCTTTATTTTGCCTCTTCAATGAAAGAAGCCCATTTTTCTAAATTCAAGAAGGTCTCTAAATAAAGAGTAAGTAAGACTGGGGATGTGGCTCAGTAGTTGAATACCCCTGAGTTCAATTCCAAGTACCCACCTCCAAAATAAATAAATTGATTAAATTAAATAAAGACCGAAAATCTCCAAGGAAGTGTGAATAATAATAATATAAACCTAAAGGAAGCATAAGAAAGGAAGGAATTAACTTCTATTTATGAATGTGAAAACAGATATTTAGGAATTAGGAAAAAAATGTAGATGTTAGAGCTAGTAAGTCCAAAAGCTTATTCTCTGAATAACAGAAAACAATAAAATAAATAAGCATCTAACTAAAAAATGAGAAGAAAGAAAAAGCGCAAACACACAGAATAAGATAAGAAAATGGGGAAATGATGATAGCTACAAAAGATTGTTAGATTTTGTTTAAATCAGATAGACAACTCTCTAGTGAAATGTGAATTACCAAAGTGACCAAGACAAGACAGAAAATCTGAACAGAAGAAACAGCAAAAATGGTTCAAGATCCACCATCAAGAAGCTTGAGGGCCACCCAGGAACTGGATTCCACCCAGCGTATACTTAGCAGTTAGCAGGCATACCCAAGCTTGGGAAAGACAGAACCAAGAAAAAGCAAAAAAAAAAAAAAAAAAAAAAAAAGAAAAAAAAAAAAAGAAAGGCCCTACTGACCAATCTCATTTATGAATATAAAGGACCAAAATATTAAGCATTAATAATCAAATTCTGCAACACACTGAATTCGCCCAACTATAGTTTAAAGGCAAGGGTATTTCCATGCCAGAAAAGCTACTGATATGATTCACCATACTGGGGGTATTAAAAGAAAATCGAAAGATCTTCATAGCTGCCCCCAAATATGTAAAATATTTTAAAATACATCATGGTAAATAGGTAAAGAGTGAATAAATTTCAATTAAAGTCAGGAATAAGACAAGAATGTATACTGTTGCTACTATCATATATTATCATCCTAGATGTAGTGGTCAATTCAATTAGAAAAAAAAAGAAAATCATACTAATTGGAAAGAAGGAGGCTCAATTATAATTTTTCCCAAAATGATATGGCAATGTACATGAAAAACCTGAGAGAATCAATAGAAAATTTATTTCAAGTCATAAAATAATTTAAAAAGTGGCTCTTCAAAAACAAAATCCAAAAATTATCTGAGAAAAAAAGAGGATATGGAAAAAAACATATTTTACTGTTGATCAGAAAGACTAAATCATACAATTGTTAATTTTCTCTATATTTATCTATAAATTTAAGGTTGATCATAAGAATAATACCAACTAGCTTTCTTTTTAGAACTAGGCTAGTGGATTCCAAAGTTCACATGGAAAACTAAAATCACTGGATATCAAACAAATTTGGTACTGGTATATTAAGAATTGGTGAGGTAATGAAAACGAAAGCCCAAAAATAGATCTAAGTATTTTAGGAAATGTTGGCTATGTTAAAAAAAATAAAAAGACACTGCATGTGGGAGGAAGTTATTCAATAAAAATTATTGAGAAAATTGGGTAGCAATCTGGAAAAAATAAAGTTAGATATCAATGTAAAGATCTTATGCCTTATAGTAAAATAAATTCCAAAGCATTAAAATTTTAATATCTAGAAAAGGAAATTAGTTATACAAAAACAAAATATGAGTGAATTTTAAAATTCTTGATGTCAAAATGACTTTTATAAAAGATATAAAGATTTCTGCAAACTAATAAATATGTATACAAAACAATAAACAAACTCACACTACAAACTGGAGGAAAATTATATCATAAGAAGTTATACTACGTGTGGGAGGGCAATTACAGTAGATCTTAAAAAATGATAGTAAAATGGATGTTTTACTTCCTATATAAGGTGGTCCTGTAAACCCTATAATAAAGATCAATAATTCAATAAAAATGCACAAGGGGCCTAAATGGTTCATAGCTAAGGAATACAAGTGGCATTAACACACATTGAAGATGTTCTGCCTTATTCATAATGAGAAAATAAATGCTAGTCAAACCACAAGAAAATACCCTTTTTACCAATCAGGTTGGCAAAGTCTGATATGTGTTGGAGAGAGTGCAGGGAATCAGTCACTCTCATAATTATTAATGAAAATATAAATTAGTAAGGCTCTATAAAGGGTAATGGACAAATGTATCAAAATTTTAACATGCACTTTTACATTTTAGGAATTTCTGATATACTTAGACCTGTGAGAAATGGTCCATGCAGTGACGTTCATTTCAGCAATTTTAAAATACTATAAGAGGATAAATAATCTATATTCCTATTAATTGGGAGCTGAAATATTAAATTATAATTCATACCCTATAATGGCATACTAGATAGTGTTCAGAAGAATGAAGTAACCCTATGTCTACCAACATGAAATGATCTCCAAGTTATATTAAGTGAAAAAAATCAGGCAGAAAATAGACTGGGTGTGCCTTTATTTGTGTGTCTGTATGTGCGTGTGTTTATGTACACATATACATATTTATAAATGTAGAAATTATCTGGAAGAACCCTTGACAACTAGGTGGCCTGAGAATGGGGTGTGAGAAAGACTTCACAGTGTACATTCTTTTTACACCTTTTGTAGTATGTATCATGTGCACTATTATATATTCCAAAAATTAATTAAGAACCTAAAAGTTCAGGATTGCTAAATCAGAGAACTACTTCTTTGCAAGAATTGTAACAATTCTTCAAAACATCTGTGCTATTTGAATTAGGAGAGCTCTGTATGCCTAAAGAGTAAACACAATGAATAAAGAAAAACAGGAAATTTGTCTTGAGGTTTTGGTCCACCTGAGCGGCTGCCAGAGCTGTCAAGAGCATTAGCAAGAGCTGAGGATGGGCTTCATGATGCTGTTCCTGCACAGACTTCTGCACCAGCTGAAACTACCACCACAGCCACCTGCAAGTGTCAAAGGTGGATGACCAAGCGCACTAGAAAACAGGCAAGAGTGGAATAAAATAATTCTTCTCAAGCCAACCCCTAAGGTTTAATTCTTCTGTTAACACATGGTTAAGACACAGTAAGAATAGCTTTAGAATATGCTTCTTAATTGGGCATGAATCACTTGTGAATTAGTTCCAGCTGTAACTGATCCTTGCCATTCAGTAAATGCATGAACGGGTGAAGGCCAAGAGATGCACAGGTCTGAAATAACAACTGGTGGCTTTGTTTCCCCAGCCCCAAGAATACTGCAGGTCCTACAGACAGGTATTCCGGCTTGTCATTCTTTAGCATATGTAATTTATGTAAATAATGTCAAACATCATCATTTAAAACTCATTGCTCATCCATGAATGCCAGGAAGGCACAATATTGGACCTGAACTGAGGACACTTAGCCTTCCTTCTAGAAGTCTGCAGATAAAGTTCTGAAACCTGAGGGCACGTACATTCCAGCAAAACCCAGAACAACAGTGCATGCAAAAGCTGTTAAAGTGTAAGGAAGGTAAATTTTAAACTCAGGAAAATGTTTGCTTGTTTTTCATATTTTGGGTCTTACTTATTTCTTTTGCATGTATATGTGGGTGTGTCGTGACCCCTCGCCAGCAAGGAGACACAACTCAGGAATCTTCTCTCAGCAGTTTATTCAGGCCTTTACTCAAGCATATCTTCAAGCATTCTCTCCCCACTTGTGCCTCCCACACTTAATAAAGCACACCAAGCCCCAATGCAAAGCCGCCATGTGGACCTTTCTCATAGGGTGTTATACAACGACGCGCCAACTCTCCCTAATAAGGAGTTGTTTGTCGCAGTCCACGGCGGAATCCGGCGCCATCTTGTAATGGCGACCACGGTCCGCTGAAATGGCTCACCACATGTGTGTTTTGTACTTTTCCTCTCTTTTTTATCTTACCTATTTCTGAACCTATTTTATGTTTTCTCTGACTTGCTATAAAGCAGCACAATTGAAACAAAAATATTTCATTCAATTTTTGGAAGAATGTTAGAATAGATAACAGCACCAGTGAACACAGTGGAGACTCCACATTTTTGTGTTTTTAAGAGGAAGTAGGAAGTACACCTTTGGTTCTTGTCCTGACTCTTCCCACACGAGGGAGGAAATGTCCCCTCCTCTGATACAGCAGTTGTAATTTAGTCAAACATATAGGAAAGGGGGTAGATTCATTTTTCTCTATGACTTTATTCCCTGGGCAGACCTGGTTGATGTCTTAATACTGATTGACATTGGGACTGGGAGGATAGCTCAGTGGTAGAGCATTTGCCTAGAGTGAGGGAAGCCTTGGGTTTAATCTCCTGCATTGCAAAACAACAAAAAACCTGATGGACAGTTCAACAAAAATGATAGCTCACATGTTCTAGACTATGTTCCCTGCATCCATTAATCATTATTCACATATTTACCTTCATCCCCCTAAACACTTTGGTTGACAGATATTGTCATTCCCATTTCACAGATGAGGAAATGAAGACACAAAGATGTAATCACCCTGCTTAGATAACCAGGATGTGACAAAAACAGACGGAACCAAGTGAGTCTGATCCCAGGTCTGCTCTTTCCATTATTCCCCCAGCTTTTGCTGAGCACATCCGCCTCTGGGTAGTTTGTGCAGAGCAGTAAATATTTATTATTTTTATTGACACTTAATAATTGTACATATTTATGGGGGATAGTGTGGTAATTTGATACATGTATACAACTTATATTTACTGATCTCTGTATGTTAGGTACCATGCTGGTTACCAAGTGAAACTACAGACTTGATTAACAGATGATCAATAAATATTAATAGATAAATAAATTGATAAATTTTTCTTGTCCACAAGCAACACCTTATAACAGCTAACACTTATTGAGAATTACTGTGTGCTGGGCACTTTTCAAAAAAAAAAAATAGGAGGAGGATGAGGGCTCAGTAGTAGAGCACTTACCTAGCACGAGTGAGGCCCTGGGTTCAATCCTCAGCATCACGGAAAAAATAAATAAATAAAATAATGTTATTGTATCTATCTACAACTGAAAAAAAATTTTAAAAAGAGGAGGAAAATAGAGGTGACAATAAGGCAAATAGCACATAAAACCAAAATAAATCCCAATGTGTCAGTAGTTGCAATAACAGCAAGCAGATTTTTAGATTCCTTTACTAAAATATGAACTATTTAAATTGTTCTTTTTAAATCAGTTATATTTTCTTTACAAGAAACACAGCTAAAACAAAATTATGTTTACCAGTTGAAAATAATGACCTAAACACGTAAGTACTGGTGCAGAATCCTCTTACACTGCTGGTAAATGGTGCAGCCAATTTGGAAAAGACTGACAATTCTTCAACATAAAACAGAGTCACCATGAGACTCAAGCAATTCTGTTCCTAAGTATCTATTGAAGAGAGTCAAACATGTCCACACAAAAACCTGTACTTGAAAACTCACAGTAGCATTATCCAAAATAAACTAAATGTGTACACAATGCAGATGTCCATCAACTTACAAATGCAAAAACAAAATGTAGTATGTCAAACAATGGCATATTTTCCAGCAAGGAAAGAAATGAAGAACTGATACTTGCTACAGTATAGCTCAAACTTAAAATCTTTATGCTAAGGGGGAAAAGTCAATCACAAAAGGCCTCATCTGTGTGATTCTATTTATAGGAAATGTCCAGAATAGGTAAGCTCATAGAGATAAAAAGTAGACTCAAGGGAGTCACGGGTTTCTCTTTGGGATGGTGGAAATGACTTGAAATTATGGTGATGGCTGCACAACTGTGAATATCCTATAAACCACGGAGATTAATACACTTTGAAGAGGTGAACTTTGTGACAACTAAATTATACCTTAATAAAGTCGTTATTTATAACAACAAACAAATGGACACAGCATTATAAATATCAGGCAAAAGAGAATCCGAGGCAAAAAAAAAAACATCAATAGAAATATAAAGCACTTTGGAAACATGAATGAAAAGAAAAGTAATAGTTTCCACAGGTCACAGACAGGTAAAAAGCACAAGAAAGGACCCTCTGTTCCAGGCCCCCAGTGGCTGCATGGGTTGCAGAAGTGTTGTGCTGGGTGTCCGCCGAAGGGCCTATGGTGTGGGGATCACAGCCAGGCTATCACGGAGTTGGAGTCTGGGCCTTATTTTGTAGGATTTTAGATCAATGGAAATGTATACATGTATAGACATATTGCAGGAACTCACACTAATCTGCACAATCAATATGTGTTAATAATTTTTTTTTAAAATAAAGAGATTGTTAGACATTGATGGATTTGAAACAGCATCCTGGGGGCTACCATGAGAAAAGGATTCTGGGAAAAGAAATATCAGACAGACCCATTTGGGGATCCACACAAGCAAAGCCAAGTGTTTATTTGAATTGGACTAACAGCAATGGGCCAGAATCAAGGAGGAAATCAGACTGGACATCTGAGATAAGGGAGAAGGAAGAACCCAGGATAAGTCCAGGGTTCCTTGCAATACAGTTGAGTGTTAACCAAGGAAGAGCAGGAGAAAATTGGAGTGGTGGTAAACAGGCAAGGAGAAGTGATTTTAATTAGAAACACACTGAATTTGAGGTACTTTGGCAAATGGACATGTAGATCTGAAATTCAGAAAAGAAGCAGGACCCACAATAACGATTTAGGAATATTCACATTGGCAGTGGGGTTTATTTCCTTTTCTAGTGCTAATTCCATGAAGATCTATAAAAGTATAATATTTAAAATTACTGAGTCACCTTCTTTGATTTCTAATTAAGTCAAGAACATGGCTAATAATGGCAGTCAGGTGGCTGATACTGCTAGTTGCCTACTCAATAACTATTTCCTCTTCCTCCTCAGAGCAGAGCCCCTAATTTGGGAGTGTTGCAATTTACCCAGCTAAAAATATTTGATTTCTCAGACTGTATTACATTTAGAGCAACCCTTCAACAATGTTTTGGCTGACGAAATGTAAGTGGAAGTCTGGGTGGGGGACATCATTTTCTGAATAAAAGTAAAACCACCCTACTAGAATGGCCTTCACTCTTTAGCTATGTGCATTTTCTGTTTCTTCTTGCCCAGACTGTAGAAATAAGCCCAGAGATACAGAAGTCATATTAGGACCATGAGGCAACCAGATTTAGGGTGAAGTCCTACAGGTTATAGGATGGAGAAATAGGAAGATGGAAAGAGGCTAATCTCTGATAGCATCATGTGAGCTCCTGCACCAAGCCCAGACTTCCTTTATTGAGAGTCTAGTACCACATGACAAATAAACTTTGTATCTGTTGAAGGTAAATTCAGATACATGCTCTGTTTTTGTTTTCTTTGGCAGTTCAATGCAATCTCTAAGGTATATAAATCATGTTGGGACACACATACACACATATAGAAATAGTTATCTAAATATCTTTATGTATCTCTCTCTCTCTCTCTCTCTCTCTCTCTCTCTCTCTCTCTCTCTCTCTCTCTCTTTGTGTGTACAGCAAGAGAGAAACAGGCAACATGATCATTATTATTTCAGTTATAAAAAATGTTTAAAAATACAGTATAATTTCTTTTTAATAGCATTGTATTTTTTTCTTTCCCAAATAGGGTGATAAGAATTTACATCTAAAGGGAAACAATGAATTACCAGTATCAAGAAAGTTCATGAATACACAATCATCTATCTATGAATATACACAAAAATGACACCCTTGGACTTTTTCAGTACGATGTGGCTCATTTAAATGGCTTTCAGATCAACGTTCTTGAAGATGGGATTGTCCATTTGACTCAAAAGAATTATCCCTGGAAGGAAGAGTCTTTCTACTCTTTCAAGCACCTAGTAAGCATAGCTAAGGAAATAGTAAAATCCTGTACCATGGTGTTCAGGCCCCTTACAGAAAAGTAAGGGGACAGTGCTGTGGGATTATGTCAATAAAGTTCTAGGAGACACTGTTTTATACCACAAAACTTTTATTCTCATTAGGCAGGGATGATGTGGAAGACTTGTATCTCTATGGCAATAGTAAATTCAGGACAACGTTTTCCCAGGTTTCAGGACCAGAAAAAGCTGCGTAAACAATCTGCTTTTATCTCATGGTTGCTGTGGATCAGATAACTATTTGTGTTTCCCTTTTTGTTTTGGCTGCTGGGAAGCTCTGGCAAAATATTAATCCCATCGCTGGAAACTACTTTCACCTCATATATTCTTGTTCTCTAAATTATCTCTAATTTGGTCTCACTTTCCACTCGTGCATTCTCATTAGCCCAGTTCATTATCTATTAATTTCAGATTTTTTAATGCCTTATTTTATAAACTCTTCAAATGCTTTATGGAACAAAGACTATTTAGGCAAATAATTTTTTAAAGCACCAGATTGTAATCATAGCGAAAATACTGCTAATTTACTGAACATTGCTATGAATGAGGTACTGTCCTAAGATTTCAGCTTATCTTATTTACCTTAAATATAAGTAATTTTATAGATGAGAAAACTGAAGCACACAGAGGTTAAATAATTTATCTAATATCACACAGCAAATAATTGATAAATGCAAGACTCAAACTCAGATCATCTGAATTACATAACTTATACAAAAGAAAAATAATGTTTAATTTCTTAAATAAGTAGAAGCCTTCTGATTTTGTAGGCCAAGCTCAGCATTGTTCAGCCCTGAAAGAGAAACCTATTATCTATCTGGTCCATACAATCATGCCAGATGATCCATATCAACAGAAAGGATGAGACAGTGAAAGTTGAAATAATAGACCATCCAAAAAATAACGGACTTTTGATCTTGGAACACTGTTACATTCGCTAATTCATTCATTCAACAGCTTGTAGGGAATATTCGTCATCTGCCAGTAGTGGCTCAGGTGCTGGAAAAAGTGGTCATATCATCTTCCCTCCAGGAACCCAAGGGCTATAAGGGAAAGTCAGGTAGGTTAAGGGCATCATGGGATTAGGATGCGAAGGCCGACAGGAGACCGGAACAAGGGATGACAGGATCAATTTGAAAGCAGTTTAGCCCTCACCTCTTGGTTCCCTTTAAAACAGAAATAAGAATTAGGTCCCTTGTGATGATGTTGTACAGTAAGAAGCTCTTAGCCTAGCCCCAGGACCATTTAGCCATTAGCTCTTAAGGATCAGTGGATGGCAGCCAGGGTCCTTGCTTTGATATATGCATGCACTCACATGGACGCCTGTCCCCAGGAACTCAAAATTCTGGAGCTAGTGTCTGCCTTCTCTCAGCTAACCCTGGAGATGACTCTAACTTACAGTCCACAGGCAGACCTCTCCTTTGGATCCACCATCCTAGAGTCACAGTCTTATTGGAATACCTCACCCAGGATGCCCTGGAACATCTTCCCCCACACTGCCTGGATCACATAATGCCTGCTCAGTATTTTTGCCCCATTTGCTCTATTTCACCTTATCTGTTACTGGCACTTGAATGCTACAGTTCATTGCACACTGCCTGGCTGCATAACAGAGGGGGATTCACCCTTGAACAGTCTGAGAGCCTCCTCAAATTGCAAAACAGGAGTTCCCAGTGCTTTAGTGGCTGAGGCCATTGAGAATGCTTATGAGCTCCACCTGCTCAGCATCCGGCAGGGCAACGACTAGTCTCTTTGGTTTTGTGCAGTAGCAAAATTAGAAGTAATTAATCATTTTCTCACCAACCTGAACTCTTATTTGATAGTTCCTGCTACAAGTTTGTTTTGTCAGGCCATCAGCAAAGTCAGTCAAATATTACAATTCCTTTCTAAATATTCTAGCAGCCAGATGGTAGAAACACTACAGTGACAAGGCAAAACTCTCCAAAAGATAACTTTGTGATGCACGAGCACACTTGATGGCACTTGGCTGAGGGAACTCACCCAGAGATACTCTATCATTGCCCCACTTAACCCAGGAAACCTCTTCATTCCAGCATTAAGCCAAGCATTGAACTCTGCAATTTGAAACTGGCTGGTAAAACTAATATGTTTCTACTTCTCTAAATTCCAAATTTTAGGCAGAAGTACAAAATTATTAGAATACACAGCAGGACAGATTTTTCAGGATTTCTCACTCAATGTAATGTTGCATACCCTAAAGTTTCAAATACTTCTGCCCTCCAGTTAATGTATATTTAGAACATGCTTGTTAGAAAACAAATGTCCTTCCTTTTGCTCAGTTATTTTTGTTGATGTTTAAAACTTTAGCATTAATAATCATGTATTCATAAATTTCTAAAATGCAGGAAAAGTTGACTGTTCCTCCCTAGTAAAAATTCCATGTTTTCCTCTAGAGTTAAGCCCTTTTTTGGTTTCTCAGATCTTTTCTAAGTTTCCAGTTTTTTGGTGTGTGTGTGTGTGTGTGTGTGTGTGTGTGTGTGTGTGTGTTGGAGTGACTGCAAAATCACAACCTGTACTATATGATTTCTGAACAATAAATCTCCAAAAAAGAGTGTTGCCAGGCTGGACCAGTTGGCTTTCTCCTGTTCCTAAAACTGTATGTTCTTAGACACACACACTTCCTCCATCCCTTCTGCTGCTGGCTAACTTCATGTAACACAATGCCACACTCACAACTGCACGAAAACAGACTCCTGGAAGGAACTCAAAGAGGGGGCTTGAGAGCCCTACCACCCTTAGACACTGGCCTACAAGTCATTGTCACCATTACCACTCTGTCTTGATTGGGGTGCCCCCAAAATGCCTGTTTATGGCTCATGCCTTGAATTTTAAGTCCACGTACCCAGATTCTTATCCTCAGCTTCCCTGAACAAGTCATTTAACTGCTGTCACTTTTTATTTTCTCTTCAGGACAAAAGCACAAGAATGATAACTCCCTTTAAAGAATTGCTGTGAATCATATGAAGTAACACACATGCAGGCATTTGTGAAGCACTCTAGAATGTATGTGCCATTTCCCATTATTTCTTAACTTTTTTATGCTTCCTTGTTACCTCCCCCTTGTTTCTTCCTAGTTGATTTTGTAGTTTTTAAATGTATCTCTAAAATACATTAGTTGGAAAACTGAAGAGATCTTTATGTTACCATAGTGAGTGGATTTTAGCATTAAATCTTTATTTACTTTTTTATTGAAGTAAACTTACATAAGTCAAATGCACAAGTCTCAAGGACATGAGGCATGACTTCATAAATTTTTAGATGCTCGAATGTGTGACCACTACTTAAGTCGAGGTAGGGAGCATATCCAGCATCCTAGAAGCCTCACTTAGCCCTGTCCAGGTCAGTAATAAAGTCCAAAGGCAGCTCCTCTTCTGACCTCTACTTGCTATGAGTTAGCTTTGTCTGGAGTTTAATACCACTTCTCCCCTCCTCAGTCCAGGGCTGGGGATTAAACCCAGGGCCTCAACCATGCCAGGAAAGTGCTCTACCCCTCAGCCACATCCCCAGAGGCATTTCCCACCGCAAAATGTTTTTTGAGAAGCTTAGAGTCTCTCTGATAATTATTAAATGCTGACTGAAAGATACACACTTCTAATCTTGTCTATAGAGTGACAAAAATTCTGACAAGGACACGTCTGAGAAGCATAAACTTTCTAAATCACACAGATCATGCCAAACAAAGGCCCTCATTTACAGCCAAGGACCTGAGGCTCAGAGAAGGGAACATCAGCCCAACTTCCTGCTACAGAGCAACTTTCCTTCCAAATGCCACAGATCACAAAGCGAACTGAAAGTCAGGGATGCTGCTGATCTGACCCAGAGCTCTGGGAACAGCGCTCCTGTCCTCTCCCTGCAGAACTACTTTCCAGGGAGCAGCGCACATTCGGTCCCCATGCTGCCTCTGTGCCCGGCACACCACCCTTATTACAGGACCAGGTTCCTGAGTGCCAGTGTCTACCAGCCCACCGGGTCTGGAGTACACTTGCTACTGGCTCCAGACTTACTACTGGAGATGAGCTTCGGAGAGGAATCCGGAAACCTGGGCATTAGTCTCCGCTGTCACCACAAGCTGTGTGACCTTGGACAAGTCACTTCAAGTCTCTGGAGTTGGTTTTCTTACTGGAGGCTACTCCTGTATTCTCAAAGCCACCTATGGTTTTGCAATTTACTAGCTCTTTTTAGTTCCACTCAGCCTTTCCCGTGACACTCCACACCCCAGCGAGACCCGTCTTTTGTTCTGGGGGTGAAGCAGAGAAGGAGAGCTTTGCGAAGGACCAGGCTGAGGAAGCCTTGGTACCAGCAGCTGTTCACTGGGGACTCGGGTCCGGGAGGTCACCGGGCAAACCCACCGTGACCTTGTTCTCTCCCTGGCCCTTTTCTGGCCCGGCCTGAGTGAAACGTCTGGGAGATGGTGGTGGGCACTAGGGCGGCGCAGAGCAGCGCCTGGATAGCGGCCTGGACCTGGGGTTGCAATCTGGCGGGGGTCCCTTTGGCACTGGTGTGCGCGCAGCAATCTGCCTCTACCCGAGGCCACTCTGCCTCGGGATTGGCCTGAGAGGACGCCACGGATCACCCTTTCCCCCTCGGAGACCCATCAGGACACGTGCACAGAGCTGCTACTTGCAGATGGCCATGCCCTGGACGGGTCTGGACTCGAGGTGGGGCCGCCATCCCCGCCGCCTCCCCGCTCTGGGCTCCGTCCCGCAGCGCCCGTCCTCCAGGCGACGCCGCTGAGGCCGCGCGGCGCTCAGTGCCACGCACTCAGTGTGCCCTGCTGGCTCCCCTGGCCGCCAGCTCTGGTGCTGCCGGGACGCAGAGGCGGGGCCGCCGCCCCCACCTGCTCGCCGGCTCCAGCTCGGGAGCGTGGCCGCCTAGCGCAGGGAGGGCGGGGTCGCTCCAGCACCCGGGAGGCTGGTCCCAGCAGCGCGGCGCGCCTCCCAGGTACAGAGTCCCAAGTCTGAACCTGGAGGAGAAAAAGTGGGGCCTAGGACTGGACTTCCCCAGATAGGAGCCATCAGTGCCGGTGACCCATGGCCCAGCCCCGCCACTGTGGGGACTCGCTACTCCTTTGATCTATTAAAAAAAAAAAAAATTCCGAGCGCTTAATGAGCACATGAATAGGGACGAAAGTGGGAACAAGATAGCCTCTTGTCTTCACGGAGTTCGAGGTATAGAAAGAGGAATCAACAAATGAGCAATTACAAGACAGAAAGAATCAAGTGGGGTTGGTCCAGGGGACTCATGAGCGCGCATAGAAGAGACAGGTCAGAGAAGACTGTCCAGGAGTGGAAGGTTCTTCCACCAGAACTGAGGGTGAGCAGAATTATCCGGGTGAATTGAGGAGGTAGTTTCTTTGAGGTGGGGCTCTTTCAAAACTGAGGAGCCAGAGGAACTTGGTGTGACCAGCAAATCCCTGTCACACTTCATGTTTAGATCCTTGAGGGTTGCAGATTTGTGTCTGAGGCTGGGTGTACTCTATTACCCTAGGTGCCCTAATGGTTTGGTAAGCATTCTCTGTCTCCTATCTCCTGGGCATGCCTGCCAGCTAAGGGTGTACTCCTGGACTCTTGTCTCTTCTTGAGTGTTTGAGTATCTATGAGCCAGATATTATAGAGAACCATCAGGGTGTACTGGTGAGGGAGGCAGGGTAACTAACTGAGAAGGTCTGGAATGGAGGAGAGACCTGTGCTGCATGGTTCTTGGAGGCTTGTAGAAGTTCCTGGGACCATAGGTAAGGGAGCAGTCAATGCCAACAGCAGGACTCTCACACAAGAATTGCAACCTGTCTCCAGGTTCAAATGTGTAACAGCTGCTGTTGCAGTGTGTTCCCCAAGCAACCCTCAGCTACTTTCTTAATTACTCATGTTTATAGCCTGACAGTGTGTAGGCTTATGTTTATAGCAAAGACTAATATTACACTCAGGATGTCTTTCACTCCTGTCTTGACAAGAACATGCTTTTTTTCCTCTTGATTTAGGTGAAGAAGGACATATGTGGTAGTGAGTGGGTGCTTGTTTCCCCACTTTTGTCCTGCACTCTCTTGTCCCTTCCTCCTTTACAGCCATACTACATGATCACACACAGGAAACCTGAAGCACATGCTCCAGTCTAAAAGCCACAAGCCATTTTGGATGTGGAAAAAAAAATTCAAAGCATTTATCCAGGAACTCTCCTTCTCTGCACTCTTAATGCTCATTCTAATTAAATACTTGACTAGTAGTGTTCTGATTCAACAAGGAAGAAAAGGTAAATTTGCAGAGAAGTTATTTCTGTGGGCCTAGAGAGTTCCCATCAGGTCTTCTGCTGAACAGCCCAAGCATGAGCTAGTTGGATGGGAAGGCTGCTATTTATATTATGAGATAGATAGGTGCTGGCATGAATTGATTTATTTTTAAAAATGCCTGGTTCAAAGAGATGGAAAGGCGATAAGTGAGGAATCTGGAAAATGGGGTCATTTGGGCTTGAGAGCTTCATAGGGCTTTTTATTCAAGTGCCCAGTGTCTCATATCCTTGTGTAGTATTCCTGCCATTAGAATCTTGAACATTACAGGAGGATTCATTCCCACTTACTTCCACCAGGATTTATGTAATTTTGAGAAGGTCCTGGCTATTCTTGGCAGACCCTGTGAGTCACCTTCCCAAAATTGTCAAACCATTCTCCCCTTCTTCCCTATAGCCAGAATCTTGGGTCACAATTGGTCCAAGACTACCATGACAATCCCATTCCTGATTGCCAAACCTTTCTTGAAGCTAAGGAAATAATCCACCCAGTTTGGGTCAATGAGTTGAAGTAGGTGGTTGGCTGGGGCTTCTGGCTCTATCCTTCCATTTCCCAATCTCTTTATGCCTCAAACCTAAATAACAACCACAAGATAATGAACATGAGGCCAAACGGTCCATATAATTAGGACAACAGCCAGGCATGGTGGCACACCTGTAATCCCAGTGGCTCAGTAGGCTGAGACAGGAGGATCTCAAGTTCAAAGCCAGCCTCAGCAAAAGGGAGGTGCTAAGCAACTCAGTGAGACCCTGTCTCTAAGTAAAAAAAAAAAAAATAGGGCTGGGGATGTAGCTCAGTTGTTGAGTGCCCCTGAGTTCAATCCCAGTACCCTCAAAATAAATAAATAAATAAATAAATAAATAAATAAAATAATCAGGACAGCAGAGAGGAAAATAGAGTCAGTGTGGTTGTTAGGCACTTGAACCAAAGCCAGTAACTCTCCACCTCTGTACTGTTTCTTATGTGAGAAAAATAGTTCCTGTTTATTTACGCCATGGAGATTGGGTTTCTAACCTTGCAAGCATATGTAGTGACCTGGTAAAGGGCAAAATCTGCCTATTCTCCTTCACCAAATGCCTGTGATAGTTCACCTTTCACACCTTCTGCTTGCAACAAAGACACTTGCAAATGCACACTTGTCTGTTTTGTAACTTCTTGAGCTTTTCAAGAGCAAGGCAACTATAGAAATCTTAAATGTTTGCATGTATCACTTTCATCCCTCATGTATTTATAGATGAGTTATTTCATGGTGATAGTGCACTGGTGCCAAG